AGGCAGGGCAACCTTCCTTGCTGCTGCCTCTGGGGAGGGACCAGAGAGGGAGCTATGGGGCCTGCCTGCTCGTCTCTAGTCCCACTTTCCAAAAGACTCTCCTGTGAGACTGGGAGTTTCTCCCACTGTGGCAACCCACGCACTATAGTCCACAGTCAGCTCTGAGGCTGTTTTACTTTCAGCCAGCCCTGCCTGCCTGCCTGGTCTGCAGCCTTACCAGTTTGTTTTTTCTGCTTGATTTTTTAATTCCTCGGTTTTCAGAGTTCCATGCAGTTTGGTTCTCTGGCTCTTCTGGTTGTTTATTGATTTTAGATTGGTCTTTATCTTCCTTTTGGTTACACAAGGAAGCAAAGGCTTTCTCCCTACGCCTCCATCTTGGCCGGAACTTGCCTCCTTTACTTCCCAAAAATTCAGCTCCGTTGGAGCACATGATTATATCATCTTTGCCTCCATTTATTCCAACCAACAACCATCTTCCTGGCCATGTCCCATGCACTTAAGAGGTATTTTGGCTCCTGACTTTCTCTTCACTTACATTCTTGTCACCATTCTTAGTGATTTTGGTAATGCACCTAGAGAAGTCATCTACTTTGTGGCCTCCCTGGTCCTTGCCCTCATCTTCCATGGTCCTCTTTCCAGCACATGGTGCTGCTGTAAGTCACGCAGTCTGTTTTGCACTCTTCAGAGGCTGTAAGGAACACCACACCCTGCAGACTGCAGTGGTCCTCCAGAACGAACAGATGCTGCTCCTTTGTGATGAGCTGCCAAACTAAACAGCTGTGGAAATACCTAACCTTGGACTTTTTGTAGAATTATAAATTACCTTATTGATTGAGCCATTTAAGATTAGTTTTATAATTAATTGCAGTCAAAGGCATTCTAAACGATGCAAAACATAGGTGAAACACATGTATCACTCATTATCAAGTAACACCCAGATTTGCATTAATACAAAACATCTCCTTCACCGGGAATGAGGGATTGGAAGTAGTGCATGAGTTCAAGTGAAACAATGTTGAATTTGTTTTGACAATGGAAATGAAAGTGTACAGAATAAAAGCTTTAGAGGTAAAGTACACAAGACAACATGATTTGATTTCTGTGTGAAAATCAGGGATGAGTGAAAGATGCATGTCAGGCTTCTGGCTTGACGACCTGGGAGAAGGATGTTATTGTTTAATGAGTTCAAGGTTGGATGCATTGAGTTTGAGGTATCTGTGAAACACTTGAACAGAATAGAAATCTGGGTTAGAGGTTTGACTTGGAGTCAGAATATAAACAGTAATTGAGGTCATCGGAATGGCTGAGCGTCTAGGTGAAAAGTTTAGAGCTATAGTTGCCAAACCTCAGTGTGCATGGGAATCACCTGAAGAATCTGCTTAAAATATAGATTATTGAATCCCATCCCATTTTCCGATTTAGTTAAGTGTGATGGTTAGTTTTTCGTTAACTTACTTAACGGAACCTGTCCCATGCCTCTCTCCTACCTCCCGGTAGTTACCAGCAAGGACATTCCTTGGCTTATAGTTGCATCGCTCCAATCTCTGAATCTAGCTTTGCACAGGGTCCTTCCCTGTGTGTGTATTCCCATACTCACGTCTCTCCCTCATTCAGGTATCAGTCATTGGTTTTAGGCTCCACCCAGATCCAGTATGACCTTCAATTGACCTTCACTTGATTACATCCATAAATACTATTCCCAAATAACATTACATTCACAAATTTCAATCTATCTTTTTGGGAGAGAGTTTAACCCACAACACATGTTTTTGGAGAGTGGTAGAGGGTAGACTAAAGAACCAGAGTAAGACTGGCAGAGTGTTCAGAGCCCAGAGGGCCTGTGAATCCAGAGTATCACCAATCTGCCTGGATTTGTGAATTTGGAAGGGGAGTTGGACTTCAAGTGCTGAGGATAATAAACACTTGCAGCAAGCTGGGAGGCTTGGGGATTGTAGTTTAGAGTCGGTGTTTGAATTAGTTATAGAGAGGTGGCTCCACCCAGAATACTGAGACAGAACAAGTGATTGAGGTGAAGTGGAGAAGGTGGAACTGGTTATGAAGACACAGAACTAAGACCAAACCTTTCAGGGATTCTTCATCTGGACACTAAAATTACCTGGGAACTTCTTAGGATGACCAATCATTGACAGATAATGAATGGGTGTGCTTGAGAACAGTTAACGAAAAGAATAGTGACTATGGATGTCTACCTCAAAACATGCAGGGTTTTTCCTTTGTTCCATAAAGGAATGAAGGAGCAATGATCTGGAAATAACATAGAAAGCAAAGAGAAACTAAACCCAAAAACCCAACAACTGATCCTGAGTCTCACAGGAGGGCACCAGAGTATACAGTCAACATGTATGAATTAAAATACTTGTCACTCTTTTTACATGTAGAATTGCCAAGAGAAACATTAGATCTAGGTCAGGACATGGATCATCTTCAATGTGAAAGAGAATCCTCCAAATAGTACTTACCTCAAGGAACGCAAGGCCATGCCAAGTTCACTTCTGGTGCAAGGGGGATGCTGTACATCCGGAGACAGACTCACACGATACACACATGGCTGCCACAGCCACTCCTATGGTTTAGGAGCAGCTCTCAGACAAGTGGGGAGTGAGTCATAAGCTGAGCAGACTGATGTTGACTTTAACGCATTTATTCAAAAACTCCCGAGGAGACTTTGGAAGATATACCAGTTTTATATGATAAAATATTGCAACTTTATTCAGAATTCATTTGAATATTTTTTAAATTATGGTAGAGAATGGTAGAAAAGATCAAGTCTCTAGATCTGAAAAAACTTCGCTCTGTTGACTGTCATGCTAAGATAGAAAATGGAAAGATCAAGGATGAAAGCAACGTGATCAAAGAAAAAGGGAAAAAGTAGCGGAGTAGTTGGATAGCAGCTCAACAAGCATTTGTCTCGGTAAAAGAAAATCTTAAAGCAGGACTTTATACTTGCTACTGGAAGAAATGGGAAACTAATTTCAGATAGGATACATTTGTATTCTCTTTAAGCTGCTTTCTAGTTTTAAACTGCATTTCCTTATTATTATTATTGCATACACAGTGAGTTAAGGAAGGCATGTATATTCAATGTAACAGAGAGAACAGTGAGGCTCAGAAACACATACTGTCCTGCATCACCCAGCTGATAAAGTGAAGCTGGGACTGGACCTGTGATCTTTCCAATGCTCTGCTCCTCTTCCACTTCTTCATGCCCTGTTTATTCTCACAACACACAAAAGCAGTATTTTGGGTAAATCTATTCTGGAAGTGTCATACAGGGAAGAATAAGAAAGGAGCTGAGACAGAAGACTGCTGAAATACACCTTGCAAACGCCACCATGCTAAGGAGTACGCGTGAGGTTGGAGAAGGTTGACCTGAAACATCGAGAGACAAGATAGGGCTTGTTCAACAACTTGGGTAGAATGAGGAAGGCAAACAACTATGAAGCACAGGCAGGCCAGGTATCATTCAGCCTATTTTATAGATGAGGAAATCAAATCACAGGGCAAGTTAAGTGACTTTCACAAGTAGTAAGTGGCAAAGCTACAACAAAGTGAAAGCACCTGCAAGCTTTCACTACAACTTCTCCTTAGAGCTCTTACACTAAAATCTTGGGTCAGGGTTGCTAGGTCATTTTTCAGGCATTTCATTATCAAGGCAGTTTCCTTTCTTATAAAAAGGAGGCATAAGATGACTTAGCTCAGAGGTTGTTTTGAGGAATAAATAAAGTATGAAAAGCATATAGCACAATGCCTAACAGATGTTAGGTCCCCACCCCCATTCATCACGATACGGCTCTCTTCCAGGCTCAACCCTCATAGCCCACAGCGTCACTTGAAATAAGCTTTCAGATACTTAGTGAAGGGAAATTTTATTTCTAGGGTACAAGCATTTATTTCAATTATAGAAAAATAACACTATTTCAAAGTCAAGGTAACTAAACAGAAGTATGTTTTTCCTGGTATACCCATACTCCAGTATCACATACAATTTCAAGACGTTCTTAAATTAACAAGGAACAAATGCAGAACCAAGGTAGTATCTGTCAATAGAAGAGATGTATTAAAGCTACATACGTATCAGCCCTGGAAATCAGAAAGTACAAAGTGATCTCGTGCAGTGATTCTCAACTTTAGTGTGCATTAGAATCACCTGTATTGTGGAAAAGCGCCTTCAGGGGACTGAAGGCAAATCACCAGGTTAAGCAAGACCTTGGTCTCAGAATAAATACTAATGGGACTGAAGATAAAAACTCTGTTCCTCAGGAAGGGACAGAGACAAAATACACAATACATGAGATCAGCCACTTATTCACTGTGCAACTTCTCTGAGCCTCACATTAAGGAATAACAGTAGGTGCTATTCTCAAGAATTGATCTACAGATTAGGTCAGACAGTGCATGGTAAATGCTTCCCTAATTCATAACACACAACTACTATCATCGTCATCATCATCATGATTCAGAGGACAGTCTCCCCCTACCCTCCCTCCAAATAGCTGCTATTATTTATCTTAAAAATCAAATAATCACCATTGAGTTCAAGCTCATAGACTACTGGTACCATTTTCTTACCATTTTCACTAGCTTCAACCCATTCACTCACCTGAAAATTTTAGTACATGGTTGAAAAGACAAGTTGTTTTTTTTTAAATCTAAGCTATAAAAATGGATCCCAAGAAAAAAGGGAACTAAAGCTTAAAAAGTATGTGTTGCTTCTAAAGCACCACTACTTAGATGAATGACCTGCTTTTCAAAGTGATTCATTTTGGACAATCTCTGATGTTCCCTCTATTGTTTTCTGAACTGGGTTACAGATAGAAACATGGAAATAAAATACCTATAATCTTCATCACTTCCTAAATTCTATCTACTACACAGTAATGTTTCATAGTTAAAGGTTTTTGGCCATTTAAGGAACTACCCACATAAATATCTGAGGTTTTACTATTCTGAAACTATAAAACAAAGCTATAGAGGTGCACAGTCAGCCTATCTCACCCTCAGCAATACTGACATTTTCAGTTGGACAATTCTCTCTTGTGGGGGTTGTCCTTTGCGCTGCCGGATGCAGGCACCCCCGGTCTTTACCCACCACAGACCAGCAGCAACCCGCCCTGCTTCTCAGTGTTGAAACCAAAAATGTCTCCAAACATTGCCAAGTGTCTTCTGGGGGCAAAAATCACCCCCCACCTGACAACCAGTGAGCTAGAATTTTACAGACATAATTGTAAACTCTGAGTACACAGATTACACACACTTATGTAATTTTACTAATATAAGGAGTTCAGCATAATAGTTCCTGCTGTACTGTTTATGCTAGGGCACATATTTTCATATAATATACTACTTAAGTATATAGTTACCCACATATAACTAACCATCTTTTCCTACTGAAAACACCGACATTAAACGAGGGGAAAAACAGCTAATCCTGTGACCATTTTCACATTATCTGATGTGGAGAAAAACCTATGGTTTACAAACATTTGTTAATGGAGGCCTACAGAAATCACTGCAAGTGTCCTTCCTTCTGAATTCGAAGTCTCTCTTTCTCTACTTGTAAGCGCTCCTTTTCAATCTGCAGCTTCTCTGATTCAAATTTCAAAAACTGTAGCCTATCTTTTTCCAGTTGCAAGCGTTCTCTCTCAAGTTTTAACTTCTCTGTTTCTATGTCCTGTGGCTGAAGTACGGACTTCTCTCCTTGACCCAGTTCATTTTCCAGAGACGGCTTCTCTGAGCTGACTATCTGTAACCTCAACTTCTCTCTCTCAATCTGCAGCCGCTCCTTCTCCAACTGCAGCCGCTCGTGCTCCAGGTCTAAATGCCGCAGCCTCTCTTTCTCAATCTGCAGCCGCTCTTTTTCTACCTGCAGTCTCTCAGCCTCGATATCCAGCCGTCGTTTTTCCAACTCTAGCTTCTGTTTCTCTATGTTCACAAGCAAGTGGGGCTCATCGTAGGCAGACCTCGATGGTGCTGAGTTTAGAGTAAAAAACTCATCAATGTGGGGGAAATCAGGAAGTTCATTTTCCCTCCTGGAATCTGGTATGACTGATGACAGTATTTCTTCCTCCTCCTCAATTTCAAACTAAAAAAAAACAAGAACAATTTTCAGTATTATTTCTATTTCATGGTTGTTGATTTATTTCAATGTTCCTTAAAAGCTTTTTGTCCTGAGGACGTAAAACCATTCACTTTGAATTTTGAATATTTACAATGAATTAGCTGATATCACTAACATATAATCAAGAGAAATATATTTAGGTAAAAAGATTAATGATATAAAGAAAAACCAGAGTGACTTTATATGCTAGTTCTAAGTTAGCCTGAACATCTGGGAACTTCTTAACTGCTCCTGCACTATCATTAACTTGCACATCAGAACTGAAGACCTTAAATGAATAAAAAGGCTCATGGGCCAGTACTTACTTCAGGACTCTGGGGATCTCTCTCTTCCTCTTCCACTTTGACCTCGGTCAAGGACCCCCCTGCATCCCTAAAATCTGCCACATTCTGCCAATCGAAATTTGTATCATTTCGGAATCCAATCTTTTCATCTATCTCTTCGGTAAGAGAGTCATCTAAATCAGATGAGGGAAGGGGAAACCCAGAACCAACCAGCTTAATGTTCGCCTTCATCCTCTTTCTCTTCATAAGAGCCCGCCAGTCAAGGTACCTTCTCTTCACTTCCGTGCCCGTCCTCTGCTCCCCCTCCCCCACCGCGTTCACACACTGCGCGATCTCCTCCCAAGCCATTCGCTTCATCACGTTAATGGTGGTATTGAGCTGCTTGGAAAAAATGACTTCTTTCCTTTTTGTAATTTCCTTCAAAAGAGTCTGAGTTTCTTGAACACTAAAATTGCTTTTCCTTTTCCTTTTCAACTGCTTCATTTTTCTGACTTAAATGCAGTTTTTACTGTAAGAGCAGATGTGACAAGAGTTTGAGGAATGCTACGAAGTACAAAAATCAAGGACAATCCCTTGTTGGCCCTTTGTTTAAATCAGAGTTTTCTGTCCATTAGTAGCAAAGGCGGCCTGGATAATTCCTAAAGAGAAAAAAGTAAAAATAAATCAATCCATAACATCTGCAATGCATCTCAACCAATAAGCTATATATATAGTTTTTAAAATATTTACTTATTTATTTTTTTAGCGGGAAGGGAGGGAGAAAGAGGGAGAGAAATACCAATGTGTGAAACATCAATCGGTTACCTCTTGTATGCGCCCCAACCGGGGACCAAACCCAAAACCTAAGCATGGAATTCAACCAGAGACCTTTCACTTTGCAGCAAGATATCCAACCAAGGAGCCACACCAGTCAGGGCAATATACCAAACTTTTTTTTAAAAACACCTCTAAATACGGCTCAAAACTCCCTGCCAGCACCACCATCTTCTCACCTGGGCTGCCGTAATAATTCCTAACTAGTTGCCAATGTCTGCTCTTAACCTACTTCCCACTTCTCCAGCTCCTTCTCCTACCCTGCTCTCCCCAGTCTATCCTCTCCATTCCCGCTGCTCTGGCCTTCTTTTAGTCACTCGCTCTTGTCCAGCTCCTTCCCTCTTCAGTGCGTTTGTACACACTGTTCCCTCTGCCCAGGAAGTTGATTGTTTCCTTCTTGGTCTACTAATTCCTCCTCAAGCTTCAGCTCCCGAACTAGACATCCCTTCCTCAGGGAAGCCTTGCCTGACACATCAAATCACTCTAACAAAAGCTATGACTACAAACGTGCCTTTCTTTTCTTGTCTAAATGTTACATTTGTGCTGACATATAGCCAAGGGTCTCTCTATTCCCCACTGTGCTAGAAGTTTCATGAAGGCGGCAAGGTTTCTGCTCACCATCATCTCCCCAGAGCCTAGCAGAGTTTCTGGCACATGGCAGGCACAGCATAATGTTAGAGTGAAGGAATGGGCTTCTTTGCCAAAATCATCACTAGTTTGAGATATCCAAAAGGAAAATTCAGACCCTGGAGAATAATTTTAGAGGAACACTGAAAGGCTGTGCTACAAAATCAATAAAATTCAGAAACAACTTTAAGGCAATGTAATTTGGTCAAAGAAATGGCAACTACTTATATTTTATTATTTTCCAAATACTTAAAACTCATTTTTAGGTTAACCCTACACATAAACTCTAAGCTTAAAATATAATGTCCCCAAACAATAAAAGTACTGGAAGGAAACAAGAGAATGAAAGGGGTAACATAAAAGTGGCAAAGATTTCCCCAGCCACTCCACCTAATTCATCTGTTACAGAAAAAGATCGCCAATTAAAATAGAAAATATATATATAATTCTTAAACCTTGTGGAGACCAACACATGTCTTCATGGTTTGCCACTGAAATTCTGTCCCTCAATGCTCACCAAATCCTCCCCTCCTTCAATCCAAACCACCTAAACAAGAGCTCCCAACATCAAACAAAACGAACTGAACACTGTAATTGTTTCCAGTTAATGCCTGTAATTACTTGCCTTTCTCTGAAAGGCAGTACTTTGTCATATCCTACCTGGGGTGTCCAACCTTTTGCTGCCCCTGCGCCACACTGGAAGAAGAGTTGTCTTGGGCCACACATTAAGTACTAACAAAACTAATAAGCAAAAAAAAAATGTTTTAAGTAAATTCATGATTTTGTGTTGGGCAGCACGCTGCAGGTTGGACACCCCTGTCAGACCAAGCCATTTTAATAGCAAAGCTGAAGATCGTGATACAGGCAAGTTAACTATACTTGGATATGCCATGAAATTAATTTTAAAATATTCATGTCAAAATTTCAATATAAACTCTGAATGGGAAAGATCCTCTTGTAAACATTTCTCTTAGATAGATGCAAGACAGAGTGCTTCTCTAATTTCCAGAACTCATACTGTCAAAGCATCAAAAAAAGGGTACACACAACTGAAACTTGTTAGAAAGATAAACGTTTCAAGCCCACCCCAGGCCAACGGACTCAGAAACTTCAGGGGTAGGATCTAGTAATCTGTGCTTCAGTAAGCCTTCCAGATGATTCTAGTGCATGCTAAAACTTGAGAACCACTGTGCTAGACTCACTCCAATATAAGGCAATGCTTAACACACCTGAATCCCTTGGACAATTTGATTTCAAGCCTCAAACAAGTGCATGTGATTGGCAGAATCTACAGCACAGCCTACATCCTTTATTACAATGGTGATGGAAATGTGGTTTTCTGTGTTCTAGTCTTTGCATTATGGGGAGAGTGTGAAGTTGGCAAAGATGTTCAGTAAATCTTTTCCCTAGAAAAGAGATTTTAAAAGCAGGTAATGAGTGACAAGGGCTCAGAAAGAGTAAGGGTTATGCACATAGACCATGTGTTTTACTTCAAATTCACCCACTGATCACGGTGACAGAGCCGACTTTTCCTCCCCTACAGAATGAGAGAGCCCTTCCAGCTCAATCACTGTGTGATCATGAACATTTCCTACCACCATGAAGTACTCATACCAAATACTCGCTAAGCTTCATGTTCTGTCATTTAATCGCCACCACAGCACTGAGTGTGAAATACTAGCATTTGTAGTTATAAATAAAATTCAGAGAAGTTAAATAATTTGCACATCTCACAGCCAGTTAAATGATGGAACTTATATCCATGTTCCCTTAGGTCACTCTTCCTTCCATTTTATAAGCAGCTTGTAATCACTAAATCTTAGAAATCTGTTGCTAAATTTTGAGATTCAAGTCTTTTAGTAGATTCTACTCTTCAAAAAGAGCAGATTCTTATGCATGTGGCAGGTCTAGATAAGGCCTGTGTATTGGCAGAAAAAACACCTCAAAGCTTCAGCTAGTTAGGTTTCATTCTACACTGGTTTGTGACATTGGTCAATTCAAAAATTTATCAATGTGAAAAATATTTCTCTAGTAACCGACAATTCAAATAGTACCTTCTACTGAAGCAAGATATAACAACTGAGTAAGGCTAACTAAATTTAATTGAAAACATGCACAAATATTTTTTATCATTTGTCATCTGCCTGATTTTAGGAATTGTATCTCTACCCCTTGTGGCTAAGGGCGAGAGATGACCTTTGGAATGCCAGCCACAGGAGACAAAGCCTGTCTCTGGTAGCAAACACTGCCTCAGTTCCTATCCCTGCCCCCAGAGCTTGGTCAGAAGTCAATGACAGATAAGACCCCTCACAGCGGCGGGGCAACCTAAGCCAGACTCCATCACCTGGGAGGCCTTCATGGAAGGACTCAGGGGGCTGCAACAAACAGCAATGGACTCTCACCCCCCCCCCTTTTGTCAAAGCCTGAGTCCCCATGTTCTCTGGGAGAAGCGCTTCCTGGCTCTAATCCCCTTAAGCCTGGATACCTAATGTGGAGAGGTACAGCTCCTTGCCTTGCTAGAGCATGCCCTGGGGAAAAATCTGGCACCACAAAGACTTGCTGATAAACCTGTGAAATCTGCTCTGCTAAGAGTGCTTTCATTCATATGATAAAGGTCCAAGAGGAAATGAGTATGTCTCCCAAAGTTTCTGCAACTCTCTTCCTGACAGACACTGACTCATAGTAAGCCCTCAGACCTCTTTGAAATGTTATCTGCTGTTTGATCCTTGCTGCCCTGTATTCCTGTGTGTTACAACCCAATAAAAGGCTATGGAGAAAGGCACTCAGGGCCTTTTTCTCCTGAGAGAAACTGGCCACAGCCCACGCCTCCTCACCACCAAACAGATCTCATCATCTCTCGGCCATATTCTTATCCATTCACGTGTGTCCATGGCACCGGGGGGATCTCTCGAAAGTGGTCGCCTCCACAATCATTGTTGAGTCTTTTCTGTTTAGGACTTAGGACACAAATTCCTTATTTCTAAACTCAAATAAAAAGGTATTTTATATGATTTCACTAAACTTTTATACAATTTTCCTTTTCAAGTTCACAGTAATCTTTAATTGATTCTGTATGTATCTAATTAACGTCAGCAAAAATATGCACATCACTATCTTTCTGTGGCATAATCATCTCCTGACCTGCCACTTGTTGCTGAAATGGAGGTCAGAGAGAAGTTTTGTCAGAGCAGAAAATGAACTTCCGAAAAGTCAGTCAATTTCACATCCCCATAAAAAGGGCAAAGCATGCAAAAAGAACAGAATTGGTTTGCTTGCAAACAATTCTAATGTAGACTTCCAAAATATATTTAATAAAATTGAAATCCACTAAATTGGAACATATCATCAATAGTAGCACTTTTGATCTTGTCTTAGGTAAATAGGGCACTTAGAGTCAAATATAAGCCTCTTGTCACTAGACTATTAAGTTAATGTATTTATAAATTAAAAGCATCAAAAGACACAGCGTGTGTAGTGGTTATGAGCACAAAGTTAGACTTTCTGATTTAGAAACCTGGCTCTCCATTTCCTGGCTGTGTGGTCTTAGTGACTGAACTTCCCGATGTACAATTTTATTTGTGAGATAATAGTGTTACCTCATAGAGATACTGTGGATTAAAGTATTTACTAAAAGACAGAATAGCTCATGACACACTCTAAGCAAGTAACATTAAGTTTGTAATTACTGCACCAAAAGCAAACTCTTGAAACAATTCTGTCAAAGGAAACAGGAAGGTCACAATAATATTGGTATCACTGTTATTGGTTCTAGTTTTTAAGATAAGTGGTAGGTCCACGGGTCTTTTATGCCTCATAACACATATGCAACAATTAGGGGTATGTTGGAACCTGCTGGTGTGAGCTGGCAAAAGCCTAGTGTGCACATCCCTTCCCCGTTCCACATCCAATGATGTCATGATGGAAGCTATAAAATCTGGCCAAAATGGCCTTACTTACACCACAGAAGTGGACAAACGTTACAAACTAGAACTTATTTTGTTCAGTGGTCAGGGTGCTGGTGTACTAGTACACTTACAGCTAATTATTTTTGCACATCTGAAATGCTACCTAATAAAAATTAATCAAGCTCAATGTTTTAACATATGATCCCAAGTCAATTTACTGAACATTCTTGAAGATTTGTAATTTTAGAGGACCACATTCACTTAGCACTCTGGCCTAGCATTCCTTAGTATTATAATTCAAGTGATCAAATGGGCTGCATAAGTATTCGGCTTTCTTCCAGAGGAGACCAAAGAATCCTCATGAGGTACAATGTTTATGAGCCACATAAAAAAAATAACTGAAGCAGCCCTGGCTGGTGTAGCTCAGTGGATTGAGTGCGGGCCTGCAAACCAGACAATTGCGGTGCGATTCCCAGTCATGGCACATACCAGGGTTGCAGGCCAGTTCCCAGCAGGGGACACATGAAAAGCAACCATACATTGATGTTTCTCTCCCTCTCTCCTTCCCTTCCCCTCTAAAGATAAATAAAATCTTTAAAAAAATAAAATAATAAAATAAAATAACTGAAGCAAACTGATTTCTAAATAATTAAACCAGCCCAAATACGCTTTCTGTTAGTATGTATATTGCAGTATACCTCAAGGAATTACTGAATTCAAAACTTGACTTTTTGCTTGCCCAACAACTGCTCCACCACTATGTGAATCTGAGTCAGCCCTCAAGACAGCGTTCAATACATACCACCGTGCCTATCAGTAGGAGGTAAAAACAGAACTTAAAATAAGAAGGTGATTGGGGGATGGAAAAGAGTGAAATGTGAAACAAAATAGCTCAAGGAAGGAGACGTAGCAAAACTGAAACTTCTATGGGTGAAGCATATACTTAAAAAAGCAGCCCAAACTGATATAGGCAAGAAACAGCTTATGAAGATTAAGTAAAAACTTCCCATAAACTACCCACCCTATAACAATGCCAAAGAATATAACAGTCAACAAGTCATACAAAATCTGAAAAGAAAATTTAAAGTAAATGGTTTATATTGCTACTTAGGCAGTATGGCCAATGATGAGCAGGTTATTAGATACATTTTTAAATGGAATCAGCAGGCTAGATGTCCTTAAAAATAAAGGAGTTCACGTCATATCAAATTAAATACTTACGATGTATTAAGGATGATTTTTTTGTTTCCAAAAAATATAAAAGGTCTCAGACTACTTAGTTTATTGAACCACTTACAAAGCACTATCATATTTTTAAGGCAAAAGCATGAGAAATATAAATATCCATCAATAGAGGACTAGATAAATAAACTATACCACAGCCACATAATGGAATATATGTGATAAATGCCACATGAGAGAATGAATATGGCTTAACACAACATTATTCCTGTGCAAACGCTAGAATTAACGTAAGCCAACAAAATCAGAAAGGGAGTATGTATGCACATCTAGGTGTGTGTACACTCAAAGAAGCTCAATTTTCAACTTCAGAACATTTACAGACAGAATTTGCTATGCTCTGCAACAGGTTACGGCACTCTGCCCGACCACCAGCTCTGGGGGTCACACACAGTCATTTCTGTTTCAGCCAAAGCTGTTTGGTAGGCCAGAGTACAATGGTTTTATTTTACTTTCAGGTGATTAACATTATGTTACAAGTATACTTATGAGAATTTTTATTACAGAAACATAGACTTTTTTAAGCCCCACAAATATCTGCAAATCTTTGACAACTTAAAAAAAAAGCAAAATACGCATATTTGGTTAGAAAACCTATTTAAAGGTACAAAACAAAGTGGAAATTTCTCTCTACCACCAATGTAGTATTAATGATTTCCTGGGATTCCAGAAAATCATACATTTGTAGCAGCACACATGTACCCATGAACACACATCATGTATTACATATTACATGAATACATATCAATTCCATTCACATATATAACTTAAAAAGCAGTGACTGCTAAAATGTAGAGATGTAAAAGTATACAGAAGTGAAAGAATTCATTGAAAGCAGAAAAGTAAAATGTCTACAAATGATTCTATACAGAAAATCAAGAGTCAAAGAGGGAATCATGAATGTAAAAATTTACCAGCTTCCACAATCAGAAATAATCAAGAAATAAAGAAAAATCATGAAATTCTGAAGATATTGCTAGATATGTTTATGAATTGCCTGGAGCTCTTTTTAAAATAAGATTCCGCTTCAGCAGGTATGGAGGGGGCCAGCAATTCTACATTTCTGAGAAACGCCTACATGATGCTAATGCTGCCTGTCCTTGAACTACACCTTGAATAACAAGGATCTACACTAGTATTGCACTATCCAATAGGAAAATGTGATCCACATATGTACTGATAATTTAAGTTTTTTCTAGTAGCCACAGTAAAGCAAAAACAAAAGGTGGAATTACTTTTAACATATTTATTTAACCCATATATTCTTAATCCAATTAAGAATCTCACAAGGCTGAAGATATAGTAAGTTCTCAACACATACCAGCTATTATCTGTCTTCTAGTCAAGTGTTTGGACACAGCAAGTGAATATTTCTTCACTGAATAAATAATGTGAATATAAGAAAAGTACAAGAGAAGTACTAACAAAATACATTGATGTTAAAAAAAGTAGAAATTTTTGGTGGGATCGAGGATATTGTCAAAAGAAATATGCATTTGACTTGGATCTTATAAAACAAATAGATTAATGAGGGACAGAAATAAAGGGGAGAAAGTAGGTTGGGGCCAAATGGCAATATATCTTTAAGGTTGGCTCAGTAAGATCTGTACTTTGCTAGTAGAAAACTTACTACAAGAGACCAATATATGTGAAAATTCACATATTCTTGAAATTCAAGATTACCTTCTATATGGAGGTAATGTTACACCATAACATATACATTATAATTTATATATAAGTATATAATAATAAATTATCACAGTTGCCAAGAGAATCTTAATTTATGCAGCTATCCACCATCAGATTTTGCTGCTCTTTAGACTATGAGATCAATTTAGTAATTGGACTTATTGGTACCTGGCAGAAATAACAGTCCTCTTAAAACTATGCCTGAGTCAATATCTTTTTTTAAATTTGGGCAGCAGTCATTGTTATTTCCATGTCCTATTGTTCCCAACAATTTGAAACTCCACTCTACCTCACAAAAGTGGTATCCCTTTGTCCCTTCTTGTTCTGTGCTAAACTGATGGACTATTTCATTAACCAAATGTACTTAAGATGCAGTTTTAACCTCACTGAAATTAATATGAGGTTGTATCTTAGATTTCTAGTCAGTCGTGACTTAATTGTGTACAATTCCTTTGACAGCTTCTGATTAATGTTAGAAAGTACCAAAATGAATACACCCTGAGTTTAAATTTGGCAGCTATGCTCGCAGAGAAAGTAAAACCTTTATTTCCAGGAATATGCTTTTTTCCTATCCTCTTCTTTACATTTTGGTAGTCATAAAACAGAGCTTGGGTTTTCTGTCATCTGTTACCCAGTATTTCACTTAAATATTTGTTGAGCTGCTACTACATGCCAGGCTAATATTCTTCGTGCTGGAGCTATAATGCCTCATAACATGTGAAGATGCTCTTTTAGATGTCGAATACTACCCGTTTTATATTGGTGGTCGTCCCTACCTTTACCAAAGGTAGTAGCAGCTGCTAAAAATTTATAGACCTTCCATGCCCAATTATAGTGAACAGCCATTTTCCCTAATCCCATTTCACAGTCATTCTTTGCTGAGTGCATATGAGTATAATAAGTAGTTCACTTACGTAATCCTTATGAAGATGATGTACCTCGAACGGGATATCATATAACCAGGCAACTATTTTTTCAAGAACACTGGAGAATGAAGCTCCTAAATACTGCATAAAACAGGATTAAAAGGTCAAAATAAGATTAGGCAGTAAATTCTGGGTCCAAAATAACTGGGGGGGGTGTGGGGTAAATTCATCAGGCTATTCAAGAAGAAAAGCATCACAAAATCTATGCGGTTCCCCCCTGCCACCTATGTGGTGGCAGCGACTTTTAACCTGTGTGTTGGCACAATGGTGTGCAGCAAGAATTTTTAAACCATGTATAATACCTGACTATGCAGTCAAGGGCACTGACCTCTTTCCCCATAGATTCTCAAATTAAAACAAAAAAGAAAAAAGAGAAAGAAAAAGAAAAAAAGAAAAAGAAAAAGACAACAGCCACCTGGTGTGAATGAATCAAAATTATACCTACTTCTTTTTTTTTGGTCAGGTGAGCAAAAAATATATTTTTTTATTTGCTACACAATTCTGACAGTTTATATGTGCCATGAGATGAAAAAGGTTGAAAATCGCTGTTGTAGGAAATGAACTTCCCCGCCTAATAAAATGCTCTTTCCTAAAACTTATGGTGGTTAAATAAAGTTTAGTTAGGGTCGCCAGTTATCAGATTAATGAAGCATTCTTCACTCCCTCCTTGCTGCTTCCCTTGGAAAGGCCCAGCCACAATCTCTGGGGAAAATCCAGAGAAACTGATTTCCAGGAGGCATCCAGGGATCAGGGTGCAGGGGGAGCGCACCTGACTCGGTCACAACGCTGCGTCTGCACCTGGTGGGAGAGGAGGCAACCAGCAAAGAAAGTCCTCTCTGTGGATACTGAATTAGAGTCCCCATCAAATGTTGGCAAACTTCTGCAGTACTGTTTCAGCATCATGGGCCCTGCCCACCCTCCCAGGTCAGGCTGCAGCCCCAACTGGTACTTCTCCCTAGCGTCCTAGTCCTGCTACGTCGCAGAGCCAGAGCGCGAAGCTGTGTTGCGAGTAAGCGGATAGCCACCTGCCGCTGACCCCGTCCGGACCTTCCCGGCTGCGAGAGCACCCACCGTCCAGGGAGCCTCCGCGTCCTCTTGGACAAAGATATACACCTGCGACCCTGCTGCACCACCGCCCGGTAGCCTCTAAGGGGGATAGAAAAAAGATGCTTCATTGATTCCCCGCCCCTCTACTCGCCCGCCCCCTGGCCACTGCCTATTGGGTGGCGCGGCTGCAGCTCTTTTGATTCGCCTCACCCATTGGCTCCTTTGGTACAGCCTTTCTGGCTGACGGCCCGCCTCAGATCTGGCCTCACAATGGGAGTCGAATCCCAAACCGGTTCCGGGTTAGTGCCCTGGATATTCCTGCCCCTTGTGATTCGCGGCCTCCGCTATGCGCTCAGTCTTTGGTGGCCAGCCGTGTCAGTCAAGTGTGCTGTAGCAAAGGATTGGACCTTTACGGTCAGCCCGCTCTGTTGCTCTGCCTGATTGGGACACTGCCTGCTCCATCTCCAAACTCCGCTCTTGTCCTTGACCCTCAACTTTTAAAAGGACGAAGAGAAAGTGGGACTTTGGCGTAGCTTCCCCAGGTACCTATCGCTGCATCTGCTCAGTCAACTGCAACTAGTTTGTCCTCAACCATTTCTTGAGGCTTCGCTACCCAAGGTCGCTGGTGATTTCCTTACAGATAAATCTAAGCATCACTTCTCAGTCCTTACCCTACTTGACTCCTCAAAAAAAACATTTTGACTTGTTGACTATGTCTTCATTGTTTTCCATAATGTATACTTCTCCTGGTTTTCCTCCCTCTAGGTCTTCTTCTGTTCTAGTCCTCCCGTTACTAATGGGTTTGCCTCCCCGTTGTCTTTATTCAGAGTTCTATTGAGATCCTGAGTTGCAGCAGTAGCTGTCTTTCTGGTCTCAGCATCCTGTCTACTCTTCTGTAGTCCATCCATCCTTCACACTGTAGCCAGAACAGGCAGCTTAAAGTTCTTTAATGGAATCACACTCATCTTACGATAAAGTATGAAGTATTTACAAAAGTGACTTCCGCTTTTCCCTCAGGCTTTATCTTTCACTAACATTCCCTCTCTTCCCTCTTTATTTTTTTTCTTTACCCCAATTCCTTTGCCTCTTTCAGTTCTTAGACTGACAATTACTTTGGTACTTAGTTTGCACCGCGTTGTTTCCCTCAGAAGGATTTCTCATGGCCTCTTCCCTGTTCTGCCTAGGATTCCTTTTAGAAGTCAGTTTCTGAAAGAAGTCATTCTTTTTTTCCATTCACCCTTTCTCCACTTCCAAGTTTTCCATCTAACATAGGTTTATGAAGTAAAAGGACACTCAGCTAAGTTCGATGTTCAGATAAATAAAAAATTTTCAGTATAAGCATGCCCCATGCTTACTAGGCATGTGTATTTTTATTTGCTAAATCTAGCAACACTACTGCAGCATGCTTCCATCACAGTCAGTACCTTTCCTCTTACAGCTTTGTCACATGTTCCATGTGAGTGGGTCTCTCTTGTTCACTGTTGTAATTTATTTGCCTAGCACAACACCTGGAATATAGACACTCAAAAAGAGATATGGTAAATAAATAATGGAATATTCTGGATGAGTGGTGAATCCTTGGTGGATATTCCTGGAGGAGCTCTCTTTAAAAAATAAGAAGTACTTATGAAATATTCTTTTTGCAATGTAGTGATTAGTTTAGTCTTCCAGATTTTTACATGATTTTATGAATGAAGCATGTCTATACTTTTGCCTAAGTAGAACAAAAAAGAACATTTTTGTTAGAAAAACATGAGAACCTATATTTTATAAATTTGTTCTTTGTGTGTGGTGGATGGTTTGGGAGTGACTGCCATCATATAGTAAGAGAACTATCTATCCCCATTATGACGAAACAGTTTTCTGTCCCCTTGCACAGTTTGTTCACCACTTGAATCTATTTATTTGCTTAAATAGAAGGATAAGGCCTCGAATGAGTAAGTATTCAGAACCTTCTGCTTTTATGTCATGAACACCCAACAAGACAGATTGAAGGTAATCCAAAATGTGTGATATTAATTTATTGATGTGGTTTTTGTTAATATTAATTGTAGGCTAGAGATTTGACACACACTTATTCTAGAACTGACCTGTCCAAATGCAGCTGCTGCTAGTCCGATGAGCTAGCACAACCAAGTAGCTGAATTTTAATTGTATTTTATTTTAATTAAAAATATATTCAATTAAGTGACTAGATAACTTCTAAGAATATTTGAAAAACTTGAATTAGATGAATCTACTTTTTCAACTAAATTTTTTTGAAATCCAAGTACAGATTGAGTATTTCTGATAGATAAAAAATTACCATCTAAATTGAGATGTGTTGTAAGTGTAAAAATACACAGGATTTTAAAGATTTACAACAATGTAAAATGTATAATTGATAATTTTTATATTGATACTAAATTTAAGTGATAATATTTTGTGTAATTGGGTTAAGGAAAATATATTACTAAAGTTAATTTTACCTGTATTTTTTTTTTTTACTTTTTAAAGTGAGACTAACAGGAAATTTAAACTTATAATGTGGCTTGTATTATATTTCTATTAGATGGTTCTGTTGTAGACTGTGCCTGGCTATAGCTTATTAAAAGTCTTAGAATGAGAATATAATAGTTAACTAAAGTATTTCTATATCATAGCTTATTTAACCAAAGGGAAAGAAAGTAAATCACTTTTCCATGTTTTCTTCAAACTCATTTTAGTTAAGATTAAAACAACCCAATAAACATATTATAACTTATATACCTGCAATTACACTTAACGGTATCATGCTGTTTTCAATCTCCATTTTTGCCTTTTTCACCTGCTTTTTCTCCTTCCTTCAACATGTCCCGATTCTTCCTTGTCTTGTCCTTATGATACACTCTAATTCCCCTTCAAAACCTGCTCTTCCCTGACAACCTTAGAACAGATTTTCCTTTTTCAAATGAATGTTATGCTTATCCATATTCTATTTAGATAACATTCCATGTTGCCATTGCCTTTTACCTTTTTATCTCTAGCACCCAGCACATTACCTGTCATTTAGGCTGGCAAAAGCATATTTGATGAATCGAACTGAAGACTGACAAGATGAAATTTACTCTGTCCTCTGTGGTGTCCCATCAAATTGTTTGCAATTTTTATCATCAGGTAAATATAATGATTTGTAAAATGACTTTGAAAACTTCTAACCAGCAAATTGCATGTTCCTAAAAAAATTTACATTGAGTGGAAAGACAGTATGGCTCCTATAGACACTGTTGCAATCATTTTTCTTTAGATTTTATTTTTCTTGTAAATGGGAAAAATAGGTGATGTCAGAACATGAGTTATTTAAAAAAGGTAATATTATAATAAGAGGTAGCATTGGTAGACATTAGTTTCAAAGGTCAGCCTGGTATCAAGTTTTGAGAAGTCAAATTGTCCTTGCATTTCAACCAGCATCAACTGCGGTTAGTTTGCCATTTTTGTTTATGATGGGAGATCTGATTTCTACTGGAATAGTATATGAAATAGTATGGGCCAGTGGTTATTAGGAGAATCACTAACAGTAATTTTTCAAAATCATCCTGTTCTTTTCAATACCTATAAACAAAGTTGCCCATAGAAGAAATAGAGCAATTGTAAATCTATTTTTGCACTTTGGAACATGTGCCCTGGTGACTTCAGATTTGAAGCTCATTTTTAAAAATCACTTTAGGTAACTATATATTTTTGGTTTCTCTCTCTTTGGCAGTCAAAGAGGCCTCTTGTTGAGTAGCAATTTCAGCAATTTTGTAGGATGACTATCTGTTTCTTTGAGTCCCCTACAGAATGAATTTTATTTATGCAAAATAATCTGTATTTTAAACCACCCCATCATATATATATATATATATTGCATATTTAGTGTAAAATGATCTAGCCCTTTTTGCATGTGTCAACAGGAAAACATGTGCATACATTTCATTTAGTAATAAAGATCATACTATTTTCTTATTTTGAGAAATCACTGTAACTTTTTATCACCTCGTGGTTATGTTTATGTATGTACATTCCTGAGTTCCTTTCATAAGAACTGTACGGATTTTTGAGTTAGGAACTTTTCATTTATTGACCAGATCTCTTTCTTCAACTCACTTAAAAAAATAAATATTGAATACTATTCTGTGTGGAGTACTGATCTAAGGGCTTTATATATACTAATTTATTTAATTATTATAATAATGTTATGTGGGAATTACAAGTATTCCTCACATTTTTAGATGAAGAAATTGAGGCAAAATGATGTTAAGTTCTATTCCAAAGTTTCACGGTTAGTAAATGGCAGAGCTAGAGTATAATGAGATAGTCTATACACTTAAACCCCACAATGTACTGTCACTCAGAATGGATGTGCTTGCTACCTCCAAGGAGATTACTTTAAAGGTGGCCAAAGCATTTGAAAAGATTTTAGTGGAGCAGGGGAACAACAAAACTCCCTCCACAAAACACTGTCTTTCTCCTAATATTTGTTAGACTGTGTTGTAAACTCCTTAAAGGCAAGGATCATGTCACTTCTCTTTCTTTTATTTCCCAGCACCTAGAATAGACCTTGCATTTACTGTTTATTCCCAAATAAACTTAGATTTTGGGTCTGTAGAATAGACAATTCACATAATTTCTTTGAACCAGGAGCCTTAGTCAAGGAATCTATTATTGGTTAGCAGCTGACTGAAAGCTTTTCTGTACTAGATTGTCTGTTGCTCTTACTTCTTCACCAATAACCATGGAATACGATTTACACAACAGCCTGCTTTGTCCAGATGCAAAGTTTTTTTTTAGTTTTATTTTTATTGTTTATGCTGTTACAGTTCCTGCTTTTCCTCCCTTTTGCCACCTCAACCCAGCCCCACACTCTCCCTGCCCCAAACCAATTTCCATATTGTTATCTGTGTCCCTGGATTGTGAATAATGTTCTTTGGTTAATCCCTTCACCGTCTTTCCTCCCATCCCACCTTCTCCTTTCCTGCATCTGTCAGTCTATATATATCTAAGCTTCTGTTACTATTTTGCTCATTGATTTATTATGTTCAATAGATACCACATATAAGTGAGATATGGTATTTTTCTTTTACTGACACTTAAT